CCCCCCCCCCCCCCCCCCCCCCCCCCCCCCCCCCCCCCCCCCCCGCCCCGGGGGGGGGGGGGTCGGGGGGGCGCCCCCCCCCCCCCCCCCCCGCGCCACACGGGCCAGTCGCCACCGGGCGCTGCCCTTCTTGTCAGGACATCATATATTCGCAGCCCCTGGCAAAGGGCGCCCGCCCCCCCCCCTCCCCCCGGGGGGGAGAGGGCCCCGCACCTCTCCCGACTGTTTGTTTGCCAATATATCGGTTTCCCGCGCCCAGCCTGCGGAGGCCTCGCCACACGTGCGAACACACCACGGCGCGGAGCTGCCCTCCGGGCTGTGGCCCCCCTCCCCGCCCCCCGATCGAGGGGGGCAACACGAATGCTGCCCGATTACCCCGGCCGCCGGGCCGCGCACCGTCCCGCCTCTTCGCGAATCCTCCCGGGATCTGATCGTGCTCGCCACCCGCAGAGCATGCAGGGCAACCGTGCTGCCCCCGCCCCCGCCCTTCCTCGGCCACCTGGGGAGACTATTGGGACATCGCAACCGGCATCGACACCGGCCAGGCTGGCGGCGGCACCCAACCCTGTTCTGCCCCTGTCCGCGCTTGTCCCCGGGGCCCCCCCCGCCGAGGAGGCCGCGGGCGGCGGAAACACCGCCGACGGGGGAGGCCGCGCGTGTGCCCCGGTCGCCGGAGGCCCAGGCGCCGCATGGCGTGATATCTCCTCAAATCAGCTGCAGTTGAATTGGGGCTTGTGACCACCTTGGATCGGGGATCAGGTGTGTCCGTGCGGTTGGCTGTGGGGCGGGCTCCCCCCGTCCCGCGCCACGCCCCCCACGCGCACACCGCATCCTGCCCCGACGAGGGCGGGCAGCGCCTGGGCCGACGCCCCCCCTCCCCCACCGATGGAGGTGAAATCCGCTAGAAGAAGAGCCACGCGATGAGGAGAAGCAGGCAGCAAGCCGAGATCCGCCCGCGGCATGCTGGCGCGCTCCTTCGCCCAAGGGTGCCTTTGGAACGGGGAAGGCACTGCGGGGCGGGAAGAAGATGCGCAAATGTGGCGCCAATGGCCCCCCAAACCCGGCGATGCCGCAGGCCCTGCCCTCTCTCTCTCTCTCTCTCCGCGTCCCCCTCGCCGGCTTCCGCTCATCGGTCATGCCTCCCCCCCCCCTCGCCCGTGGCCTGCGCCAGGCTCGGACGCGGTGAGGAGGTCCATTTCCTGGCGCGAACGTCGCCGACACGGCTGACACGCCCTTCGCTGGGCATGCGCTCCTCCCCTACCAGAGGGGGGCGGGCAGGGACGTCCCGTTCCCTCGGAGAAGTCCCCCGGCCTCGCCCCGAGATGGGCAGGTTGGTTGCCAACACACACACACACACACACACACACACACGGCCGAGCCGAGAAGGCCCTGCTCTCCCCTTGCGGGGACGCACACACAGGATGCCCCCCCGCGGGAAAGAGGAGAACACGCAACCACCACACAGACAGCCGCACACACACACACACACACACACAACGGGAAAAGGGGGAATCGACCGACCGGAGCGATTTGTTATTGCAAGATGGAAGAAGAAAGAAGGTGGTGGGAGAAAGAGGAGAGATAGTGTATGTGCATTTGTGGAGAGCGCGCCCCGGGGAGGTGAAAATACGGGAGCATATGTGTGCGCCCCGCATGGGCGAACACGCGCGGCGCAGCCATCCGCCCCCCCGCCCCGCCGAGCCAGCGTGCCTCCCCTCGCCAGCAAGAGAGGAGAGGAGAACACACAGGCAGGGAGGCAAAAGGGGAGAAGAAGGGGGAGAGGACACCGGGTGGGGGAAGAGAGAGAGGGGGGGACAACCCCCCGGCCCAGTGTCCGGTCCCGCCGCTGGCCCCTCGTGTGTGTGTGTGTACGCGCGCGCGCGCGCAACACCACGAACACACCCCCTCTCGCACATGCACGCGCGGGCCCCACCGTCACACCGACAGGGCAACGGAGGGCGGCAGTGGAAGGAAGGGGGGGGATGTGCGCACAGGCGCATGCTCGCCCCCTCGAAGGAGCTGCTCCACAAGTCGCACACACACACCACGTCTAGCCTCCTCTCTCACGCAGCCGCGTGGTGCTTTTCGTCGTCTCGGGGGAGATTTAGGCGGACCAGTTGGAGTTCTGGGCGGGGACCTCGGCAGTCCAGTCGGCGGCGCCCTCGACACCCTCGACGGCGGTCTCGTCCCAGGTCTGCTCGACGGCACCCTCGGTGGGGAAGTAGGCATCGGCAACCTTCTCGAGGGCGGCCTCGTCGGACTTCTCGGTGGTCTCCTCAGTGTCGCGGTAGAAGTACATGTCAACCATGACGTCCCACTTCTCGTCGCGGGCGAGGACGCCGCGCAGACGGAGGACCTCGCGGGCGAGCATCCAGTACAGGCAACCCAGGGACATGCGGCCCTTGTTGTTGGCGGGGATGGCAACATCGACGAAGTTCAGGGGGGAGTCGGCATCGCAGAAGGCAATGCAGGGGAGGTTCACGTAGGAAGCCTCGGTGATGGCCTGGTGGTCGGTGATCGGGTCGGTGACGATGATCAGGCGGGGCTCCTTGAAGCCCTTGGTGATGTAGTTGGTGAAGGTACCAGGGGTGTAGCGGCCGGCGATGGCGCGGGCACCTAATATTCATCCATGGCGAGAGGGCGGGAGTGGCGCGCGCGGTCGTCGAGGGAAGGGGAGGAGGAGGGACACAGCGAGGGGAAGGGGAGCGACGTGTGAGAAGGAGGACAAAGGGCCGAGACGACCACCGGCGCCGACGAGGGGGACAGAGCAAAGGTCGAGAGGGGGACGGAGAAAGGGAAAAGAGTGCGTGTGTGTGTGTGTGCATAGGGGCGCGCGGAGGAGGGGGGAGGAGGAGACCACATACCGATCTGGGCAGCGAACTTGAGAGCAGCGCGCTGGCCGTACTGGCGAGCGGAGATGACAACGATGTCCTCGGGGTTCTCGATGGCCGCAATGATGCGGGCAGCGAAAACGAGCTTCTGCCAGGTCTGGCCGACGTTGAGGACGTTGACACCATCGTTGCGGCGGTCGAAGATGTAAGAGCTCATGGCCGCGGTGGAGTTCTTGGAGCCGTGGTGGGCCTGGCAAGCCAGGAGCATCTTAAGGTCCTCAGCAGTGGGCTGGAGGGCAAGAGGGAATGCCATCTTGTCGAACTGTCGAAGGGGGAGGCAAGAGCAAGGGGGGGAGGGGAGAGAGGGCGAGAAAGTCAGGATGAAATTCGGGGAGCCTGCCCATGAATATGGAGCGAGGAGGAGGAGGAGGAGAAAGGGAGGAAGCGACGACGACGACGACACATCAGACCCGAGCGCAGACACACGGGCACAAACGTGTGCCGGCGCGCGCGGATGCACACGACATCATCCCGGCCCCCGGGCGGCGCGCCCCGCCCCACAGGCCGGCCCCATGCGCCGGGCACGACGGATGCATCATGCATCCGATGCGCTCACGGCCTCCGCGGCCGAATGGCCACCCTGCACACGTGTGGGGTCCCCCCTCCTCTCCGCGGCCTCAACCACAGGCAGAGGGCGACACCGGGGCTTGGGCAAGTGCGATCCCACGAGAAGGGAGATAGACACAGGCACATCTGCACATACGGGCGAGCGCGCGCTGACAGAGAGGAGGAGGCCGCACGCGCGCGCGCGCGCGCGCGCATCTGCACTCGCATACCATCACACCGTGAGGCGGGCCGTGGGGCCCCCCACATGGAGGACAGCGGGACATGAGACAGAAGGGTGGCGCAGGGAGGAGGGGGAGGGCGCCGTGGGGCCGCGGGGCGCCGGCGCAACAGCGGGGAAGGGGGATGACGGGGGGACATGGAGAACAGGGAGCCGAGAGGGTATGTGGAGTGCGCGGAGAGGCGAGGGGGAGGGGGAGAGAGAGAGAGAGGTGGGGGAGGAAAGGGCGCACCTCTCTTAGGTTGTGATAAAAACAAACAAAACGCTAGAGAGGTTTGGGAACGATCAGCACCGGCTGTGGCCGACGGATCGGCCCAACTTCAGCCTACATCCGTGCGCACGCACACGCTCGCGTGTACACGCCCGGCCAGGCCCCCAGCACTTCCCATCACCCCCCCTCCGCCCCCCCCCCCCCCCCCCCCCCCCCCCCCCCCCCCCCCCCCCCCCCCCCCCCCCCCCCCCCCCCC